AGAGATACAAAAATGATAAGCAACAGCTAAAAAGTAAACGTTAGTAAACAGCCAGAAATAGAACCAGAGCTTTCGGACAACACTAGTCCTTCCTCAGTAGCGAGGATATATATATATATATATATGAATCACATTATATACAAGTATCTCATTCAAGGTCAAGTTGAAAAAGAGTATCTTTTATGTAAATCTTTGGCAGTATAGTCATGTGCAATATTAGTGCAGATATCAAAATTAAAGAATGAAAGGAACACAAAATTATACTGGTGCTTGAACCACCACAATGCCTTCCTGGTCAAGTGGTTATGACGTTTGTCAGGTATGTGAAAGGTCCCAGGTTGAAGTCCCCATGGAAGCTGATTTTTTCTTTCTTTGTCAAAACCCTTTTCAGTAACATTTTAATTTATATAAGAGATGTTTAATATGCATAAGAGATAGACTTTAACTGTCAATACCATAAACATCATCACTTTTGTACTGTACCTTAACAAACTCTGAATCAATTCTGTGACGTTCTTGCATATATTGCCGTTTAGCATCATTTTTTTCTCGTATAAGGGCCGAGAGTTTCTCTATGAGGTTACTGTTCATGGTCTCTGCATTTTGACGGATTAGCTTCTGTGTTTTCTCTGATTCCTTAATGAAAGTTGTCCATGCCTAGAGGTTCATCAAATAGTTAATCAATCAATCAAACTATTTTAAAACTGTATATGTTGGACTGATCCATGAAGCAAAATATAATAAAGTGAATTTTTTAACTTTCACGAAGAGAAACAGTTTAAGCAGAATTAATTATATCATTATAAGCTAAATGTTTAAACTGTACACTACATGTTTATTGAAAAAAATACGTTAATTGTACAGTATTAAGTCTCACATGAGTTTCTTTATTCATGTCAAACATGATTTACTGCAATATTGTTACTGTCAATATCATTATATCATAATGTTTAAGCTATACAAACAGTATATGTTTATTGAAACCATACATCAATTGTAAACAGTAGCCTTTTGGCACGTCACACAAGATTTATTGAAATGCTATTAAAATTACTGGATAACAAAAATACAATTATTTGTAAGCTTAAACTTGTTCAAATTTAAATGTCCTGTGTTGATATACTCTGTGCAGAAGAGTCGCATATCTTGGGTAATATAAGTATAACTAGTCGTAGCTAAAAATTAATATAAAGAGAATTTTAGGTGTTTTGGTCCTGGGAAAACTGTGGCATTGAAGAACCACCTCTGCTGATAAATTGGCAGGAATCCTGGAGGCAATCCAAATCAAAGTGGTACACATGAGCTAAATCCTTTCTGAAAGCTAAGATGGCAGGTTGTGCAACCCCTGTATTTCCCACAGGATTTCCCAGGGAGAGCAGCATGATGAAATAGACCTAGGAATAAAAAGACCGCATGGTTTCAGATGTGCACTTGCTGCTTTCGATTGTACGAAAAGGGGTACACATTATATAATATCTGTTGAAAACTTTGCACCAAGGAGGTATAAAAATATATTTTTATTTTTATACCTCCTTATTTGCACTCACCAGCCCACTAGAAAATTTACCAAGCATGCAATATGCTCCTCCTTCAAACATTCACAATTAAACATAACACAACCTGTTGACAATTTCAATTCCTTATGAAATCTTGACACCTAAACAATTGGCCACTGTACTATGTTATGGATATAGCGTGGGCAGACCAATATTGCACATAGTAATCTTTTCTGAATATTTAACTGGGGAACCTGTTCAATATCAACAAGTGTTCTCCCATAGGGCCTGGTTACAAATGAAGTCTCATAATGACGGAAAAGATGGAGCTGTTTTAAAGTCATGGGAAAAAATTCTGGTTTTGAAACAGAGTTCCAGAGTTCCAAAAGCATACTTTCATATTATTAGTCTCTTTCCATTGAATTTCAATAACTGAATATTTAAAGTACAGTAGAACAATGACAAGGTGTCGTAAAAGGTACTAACATTACACAGAAATGCAGGAAGAACACTTGCTAAACATATATAATAAAAATATATTATGCTCATGGTGTGGTGAAAGATAGTACAAAACCTTCTGCAATGAATCTATTATTATATAGGGACAATAAAATGCAGTTACAAATTAACTGAAAATATTGAGCAAGCCACAGCTATGATCAATCTCCCTTTTACAGTGTTCATTCAGAGTAACTTTCTATATGTGGCCATGTATACTCGGATACTGTACTACAGTATTGTGTAATCTCAAACAAGTTTTAATAAATTACCTCCATATTTCAAGGCTTCTAAGCACATAACATTGTAAAACATTGTCATTAAAACATAAACAAATTATATACAATAAGATAGTATAATACATACTCCAAGTATTGAAATGCACGCCAACATGTTGGGATTCAATATTTCGACATTAATTATGTGATCATCATGAATGATGATGACATAATTAATGTCGAAATATTGAATCCCGCCATGATGGCGTCCATTTCAATACTTGGAGTATGTAATTATACTATCTTATCTGAGATTAATCAGTGGATTTTTCGGTTATATACAATATGTAGACATTTGCAAAAATATACATGATAAAAAATTCACCTGTCTGTGTACTATTAATATTACGACTAGATAACTGAAGGAAATATCAAGCATGTTGTAGAAGTGAAAATAAAACTTCTTTGAATATCAATTGTCTACAATTATAAACTGGCATTTCAAAATTTTAGGATATACATATACTGTACATCAATATAATTGGTTCCTAGTTAAACAATGCATCATATTCAAGTTAATGGTAAATTGTCACCAAACATGCAAATTTTTAGATCCACAACTTGTACCAGAATATTTATATAGTTTAATACACTGGTTTTGTTCAGATTGTTTTCTTCATACAGTACTTTATGATGATGAATCACATCCACAGTGACTTTAATATGTAGATAATGGAGATACACATACACCTCCACTGGTGATAATTAAAAATGATAATAAAGAATTGAGAAAAACGCATCAAACCAAAGACCTTCCGATTACCGTTCGGACAAACTGAACCATGAGGCCAAGTGGTACACCGTTGGATTTTCTCATTAGGACACGTTTTTCTTAAAGTATTGCTTAATAATAATAATTAATAATAATAATAATATTGTAGTTTTATATAGTGCCGTATCCATCTAATATAAGATGCTCAGAGCGCTTGATAAGTGGACTAGGAACTCGATCAATGACTTTCTTCACCTAAGGGTCGATTCGTGTCTGTGCTACCCGGTAACCTGGTACCAGCAACTCTTGTCATCCACCACAGGGGCTGTCTTTTCCAGTACAATGGGGTATCCCCCTACTCAACTTGAATAATGTACTGTGTTCTTTATAGTGCCCAATAGCCATTGTATACACTGGGCCTACAGTTTATAGTCCTTATCCAAGAAGACTTGTTCTACTACCAGAACCATTGGCGAGCGTGCCATTCGAAACAGCCCCGATATTATGGCTATAGGTTTGCGGTGCTCCTGCTAACCACTTGGCCATTTAGACTCGCCAATACACAATGAATAATAGTACAGTGAATCACATGATAGTTATACGTAAGATGATGAAGCATTCACAGTCTGCGTGCTGCCCCTAAGCTGCATTGAACAACCAGTTGAAATCCCATCTTCATAAATTTTCACATTATTAAACCAAATTTTCAGTTACAAGTTTTTTTCCTTCAATTAATTTTTGTTGGTATTTCATGCCCACATCACTATAAGGCGTGTGAAATAATACCTGACCGGCCTTGGCCCGTCGGTGAGAAGGATATGATGTGATGGTGTGTGGTTCCCATTGTCAGATTTTTAAATTTTTTTTATTCTTTTAAAGTTAGGATTTCCTGGTTCAGCCCTGTTTTCTGGAAAGGCCTTGAGGACAGTTTTATATTGCTAGTAATTATTAGGGCAATGACATTCTACAAGGTACTCACTTACACTCCTACTACATGTTATAATTATATGTTTATGATTTTATGGAAATAGAAGATTTCTTGCGCACGGCCCGTAAGGCCGCACGCCTAATTGTGCAAAATGAGAGTAGAGAGCATGCAGTGAAAAGCGAGGGAAGAGAAAGAGGAACACTGTACTGTCGTGAGCTAGGCTATTGTAGACCTATGAGTACATAATTATTATTAAAAGATAACTATATTGCAATATGTTGAATGAGTGAATGTCATCATTGATCCCTATAGTTATTTAGAAAAATTACAACATAACAACAGGAAGCAAGGGACAACAATTGACATAATGAAACGAATATACTTTATTTTCTTGAGAAATCAGGAAAAATAATAGCCACTGTTTCCTAGTTTTTCGAAATTTGTTTATCTTAGCTGTTCCTGATTATTTCCTTGAAAAAAAAAAGTTTTTTATAGGGCCTTATACATTGCAACTATCAAGATATTCTTTTTCTCTGCAACCTGGTTTTGAAGTTAAAAATATACTTCATGACACCAATGTTACAGTGGTCCTACTGTATTCATTTTTTTATGGTAGTAAATCCCAAAATTTACAGTATTCATTTTGAAAAGAAGCCCCCTCTTTACTTTGCAAAAGTAGCCTCGAAAAGAAGACCATCCAAAGTTTGCAAAAAAAAAAAAAAAAAGAAGCCCAGGGCTTCTATTCAATGTTTTATGGTATTGCAGTATGCAACATCCTATTGAAAATGTTTGTAGAATAATGTAGGCTGACCTTTGACATCATGCAGCATGCTTCTCTCAAAACAGTCACGTAAGACTTTGAACAATTTAACCAAAATTTTGTGACAAAAATTAAATATACCTACTTTCAGTCTAAATATCACATAATAAATTATAATCATAAAATATGCATACCGTTACTAATACACTGTTGTGTGTAAGCTGACTCTCCACATCAAAACGATTAGCCAGATTTGAGACACCTGCTAAGGCCGTTGCATATTCTCGATCACAGCATACACGCTTTTGTGCAACACGACGAAATGTTTCCATAAGTTTGATCTCCTGATCGTTAAGTTTCAAGAGAGCTTCATGAGCGGTCCTACTCTGCAAATCAGTTCCAAACCCCATTTGTGGTGTTGATGACTGTATATAAAATAAGAAAAAGAAAATATCAATTAAAAAACAATTACACTAGATTCCAATTCCAGATGGAATCTATATCCATATTTAGTGACATTTAATTGTCTTCATCAGGAATGATGATGATATAATTAATGTCAAAATATTGAATCTCGATATGATGGCGTGCATTTCGATACTTGGAGCATGTATTATACTATCTTATCTGAGATTAATCAGTGGACATTTTGGTTTCTATAGTATTATGTGATATAGATTCCATCCAATAAGATGCATACACTTCTCAGTATAATGCCATCTCTACCACCAGCCCAACTTTTAAAGAGAGAAACTAGAAGAAATCAATTAGCTTCTAAGAGAAAGAGTGTGATTAATCCCAAAAATATGTCGCACACGTGACAATAACACGCCTGACACATGTTTCCGAGGTAAAAGAACGTATCAGTAAATAACGTTATTAATACTGTAACTATGCAATAAACCAACAGTTGTAACTAAAATTTTTTATATCACTATCAGATGTCTATAATTATATACCAGTAGTCCTACAAAATTTCAGAAGGGTATGAAAATTATTGCCAAGTTGCAAACTTGTGTACCTTACCATCAGATCATAGTAGGCCAACAGAGAACACACTAGTACAGTACAGTAGTATACATTCAGGACCAAAAAAAGTGTCCCCTTAATAGGGTGTCCCCTAAATAAAGGTTGCAGATAATGTTAAAAGATACACTTTCATTTCTTAGCTGAAAAAGAATGGGTTTTATTGTACAGTAGTTGTCTGAAATAATCTTAGTTCATGAACCTCAATCTTTAAACCACCGCATTCAACAAATATAATACTGTAATCTGTTAATGTCATGCATGACTAGTGTGTATACATTACAAAACCCATTATCCATTGCTATTCTTCAAATTATTCTAATTTTCTTCCTTGTCTACACCAGTGAAGTATAGATTGAGTAACATGTAGCTTCCTTCCTTGATCAAAATAACCATCGCAAACCAAAAATGAAAATTAGCAGATACTACAGTACTGTACAGTACAGTACTGTAGTCAACGAAACACTTCAAGTATAAATAGCAGACTTGCTTACTGAAGTATACAGTACTACGGTAAAAACAATTTATAGCAACAATACTCTACAGGTACAATACATACTGGTACACAGTAGGCCTACTGCAGTTTGCACAAACATACTTAAATCCTACAGGTAGATCCCAATTTGTTGAATACCACATTGCCAACCAGCGGTGGTGCCAAAAATTTGCCGACCAGGGGTCGGACTTGTCCGACGGAGGGGTCCAAACCAAGGGCCAACAAAGCCTTGGATTAAAAACTCCTTGTAGGGTGCACGGGGAGAGTTTCTATGGCTTAGTATGGACCAAAATGTGCTTTTAGACCACAATATTAGAGATTGGCAGTCAAAATAACGTTATTTATTAACGTAAATTATTATTTTTTTTCTTTTTGATCAGACGACCTAGTCGTACGCCAGGCGACCTAGTCGTACGCCAGGCGACCTAGTCGTGCGCCGGACGACAGGGGGGGGGGGCCAGGCCTGTCCGACGA